GGCATCATATCTCATAACTGGGAAGTCTAGAAAATCGTGAATGAGATTGGTTTTATTTCTTTTAGATGTAAGTGTGAATAATGAATATATTATGTACACAAAAATTTATGTCCAAAAAAAATGTCCACAAGGATTTAAGGCTTCGCCTGGAAAGAGCTCTCACAGATGACCTTACAGTACAGGATCTCGATCTGTGATATTTAAAAATAAAAAAAAAGGGAAACTTTGGAGCTCCAGACGAAATTGGGTTAAGAAATATAGGACCACATTTACAAGATGTTTAAAAACATTATAGCAGTTGCAGATTTTGCTCAAGGAAAAAAGAAGAAAAATGAATACATAACATTATATGTAGTTATTTTCATATAGCTTTATGCAAAAAAAAAGTTATATAAATCATTTCAACTTTGATGGTACCCAAGGCAAATATCGAACACAGTATTTAATTAAATCTTGCCCAAGTACTTTCGATCACAAGATCATCCTCAGGGGCATTTCGTCAATTGTGGCCTATCCAGCAATAATGGAATGTCATATATGTAAACTGGGACATAACAAATACACTAAAGACAAACAAACACTTTAAAATTTAAATTGGAGAAGCTACATTTTTATAGTATAGAAGCCGGAGACAGAATGGCTCCCAGCCTGGCGGAGGCGGAAATATTGGGTGACATGTCTTTAGTGTATTTGTTATGTCCCAGTTTACATATATGACATTCCATTATTGCTGGATAGGCCACAATTGACGAAATGCCCGTGAGGATGATCTTGTGATCGAAAGTACTTGGGCAAGATTTAATTAAATACTGTGTTCGATATTTGCCTTGGGTACCATCAAAGTTCATTTATTCGAACATTCAACCTTATATTAAATCATTTCACACTGCTTTAGTTTAAACCTAAATTAGTTTTGTCACCCATATATGCATTTTTGTATTTATTATTAAATAAATTGTTTTACAAATTGTACAAGGGTAATTAATTTCTCACCTACAAACATTTTTTAAGGAATAACAGGAAAATAGTTCACACCACTTTTTTAACTACTTTTTTAAATTATTAATTTTTATTTCAACAAAAATATGTTTATTTACCTCCTTTAGATACCAAAAGAATATAAACAAACAAATTAATTCTCCCTATATCCCATGTCTTGTTAAGGGTTACTTGGAAAAGAAACCTTCAAACCACTTAGAGAAAAAATAAAACCTTGGCTCCACTTGACTACATATTAAAGAAATGTTTGTTGGACAATTTTTTAGAGTTAGCTAAGGCCTACCCAGAGTTGCAGCACTACTCAATGATCTGATAATGAATTCTTCTTCATCTTAAAGTGCCCTCTCCTCAATGGAGGTTGGCTACTACAATTTTAAACTCTTCTCTATCTTCAGCTGTTCTTATTAGCTGTTCAAAATTTAGCCCTGTTCATTATCGGATGTTTTTGAGCCACGATAGTCTTTTCCTTCCTAGGCCTCTCTTTCCCTTGATTTTTCCTTTCACTATAAGTTGGGCATATTAGTACTTATTATTTCTCAGTATGTGGCCTAGGTATGATGTTTTTCTAACTTCTACTGTGTTCAAAAGTTCTCTTTCCTTGCCTATTGTATGCAGCACTTCTTCGTTTGAGGTATGCGATGTCCATAAAATTTTGAGTATTCTCCGGTAGATCCACATTTCAAAGGCCTCCAATTTATTTACGGTTGATGTTTTAAGGGTCCACGTTTCAACTGCATATAGAAGAGTCGACCAGACGTAGCATTTTAATAAACGTAGTCGAATTTCGAGTTTTATTCGAGAATCACAAAGCAGTTTTTTTATTTTTTCGAAAGATTTTCTGGCCTGTTCTATTCTCGATCTTATTTCTTGATCAGGATTTAGGCTGCTATCGATCCAACATCCCAGGTACTTAAATCTATTGACCTGTTCTAAGATGTGCCCATTTATTGTGCAAGGTTGAGGTACGTTTTGGTTTTTTCGGATTGACATCACTTTGGTTTTTTTAATGTTTATTTTCATACCAAATTGCTCACAGGTCGAGTTAATCTTGTCGATGAGTCGTTGTAGACCTGAGTCGGAATCCGCAATTAACACTGTTCATCGGCGTATCTGATACTGTTGATATCTACGCCATTCACATTGACTCCATCCTTGGAATCCTCCTTGGAATGCTTCTTTAAATAGAAACTCGGAGTAAAGAATAAACAGCAGAGGCGACAGAACACATCCTTGTCTAACTTCCCTCCTAATTTCTACTTCTGCGGATGTGGAACCTTCGATCCTAACTCTGACGTTTTGGTTCCAGTACAAGTTTTTTTAAGAATTTGATGTCTTTTCCATCTAAACCGACTTGCAAACGTTCTAATAGTAGGTCGTGTCTTACTCTATCAAATGCTTTTTCGAAGTCTATAAAGCATATAAATATATCTTTCTGTTGGTCGTAGCATTTTTGGGCGAGAACTAGTATACTAAACAGGGCTTCTCTCGTTCCCATGCCGGCTCTGAATCCAAACTGATTGTCTCCGATGATTGTTTTGCACATTCTATAGATACGATAATGTACGATTTTTAGTAGGACTTATACTGCATGACTCATAAGGCTTATCAAACGGAACTCATTGCAGTGTTGTGGGTTTGGCTTTTTTGGTAGTGGGATGAATATTGACTTCAGCCAATCTTGGGGTATGTTACCCGTATCATAAATGCGATTGAATAAAAGGACAAATATTTCGATATTTTCTTCGCTGATAAATTTGAACGTTTCTGGGTATATTCCGTCTGGACCTGGGCTTTTATTTGTTTTGAGATGATTAATTGCATTTATGATTTCAGATTTCAAAATTGTTGGCCCTTCGTTGTTATTTTCCAATCTTGGTTATTCTCGTATGTCGTGAAAAGAATTTTAATATAGTTTTCCCATTTTTTCAGTTTATCTTCCGTTAATTCTAGCAGTTTGTCATCCGTGTTCAGCATGGTGTGAAAAGTCGTGGTAGTCGATGTAAACTCTTTTACCTTTTTATGTAAATTAAAAAAATCGTGCCTTTGTTGCAGTTCTATTTCAACGCATTTTGTTTCCAGCCATTTCTCTTTTGCTTCGGTTATTTTTTTTCGAATTATTCTATTTAGTCTTTTGTATTCTCCGTCCTTGTCATTTTTTCCTTTAGATTCTCTTCGTTTGTTCATTAATTGTAAAAGCTCTTCTGTCATCCATTCCTGTTTGTTATTTCTAGGTGTTACTTTTAGATGTTTTTCCGTTACATTGTTCATTTGTTCTTTAATAGTTTTCCACAGAACGTTTATGTCATCGTACTCGCTAATTCTATTATGGTCGATATTTCCTAAATTTTTGTTTAATTCTTTATTTACTATCTGATGAATGGTGTCGTTTTTCAATAATTAGATGTCTAATAGTTGGTGTTGAGGTTTTTGTTTCTTTATTAGTTTCCATCTTGCGCGAACTTTTGCAACAACAGGATTATGATCGGAATTGATGCCAGTTCCAGGATATGTTTTTGCACTGATGATTGCATTGTGATATCTTTTGTTGACCAATATGTAATCTATTTGGTTACTGATTACTCTGTTTTCATTGTGTTGTGGTGAAGTCCAAGTGTACAATCTGCGGGGGTGTAATTTAAACCATGTATTTGTCGCTACCATGTTGTGTTGTTGGTAGAATTCGGTCATTCTCTTTCCCCTGTCGTTCCTTGCTCCAAGTCCGAAGTCTCCGATCAATCCAGAAACTTTTCCTCTACCTAATTTAGCATTAAAGTCACCTAAGAAAAATGGTCTCGTTTTTTGGTCATCTTTATAAGTTTTTCTACGTCAACGTACCACGTTTCTAGCTCTTCTATGGGTTTATCGGCCGTAGGGGCGTAAGTTTGAATGAAGTTAATATTTACTGGCTTTCCGGATAGTTGAATAAGAAGACATCGGTCCGAAAATGGCACAAAGTTTGTGACGGCATTGTTATATTTGTCTTCTAAAGTTACTCCAACCCCGTTACGATGAACCGGATCGTTATTACCTGAGTAATAGAAAGTTTTGTTCATGGTTTTAACTTTACCTGAACCTGGCCATCTAACTTCGCTCAAACCCAATATCTGCAACCCTAAACGTTTCATTTCGTGGCATGCATTTGCTAGTTTTCCTGTTTCGAACAGACTTCTAACGTTCCATGTTGCAATCTTAAAGTTTTTATTTAAAATATTTAGGCTATTCCTGATAATGAATAGAACGAAATAAAAAAGGTGTCTGTAATGATAAGGATGCTCTTTGCGAAAGTATGTAGTATTTATTTTCATATTTTTACATTTTTTTCCTTTCGTTTACTATTCATTTATTCTGTTTTAATTTCGATGAATTTGAATTTTTCTTTGCGCGTAAAGTATCATATTACTTTGACCATTCAATTGGATTGTCGCAATTCAGAAGCGCTCTACAATAGAATTGATTTATGGGGGAGCACTTGTCCCATACAGACAACACTTCTTATTAAGACAGCATACTGAAAACATCAAGTGTATCGGTTACGTCCCATCGAGCCTCGACGTTCCGACGTGGTACCAACGCTATTCCACGGGCTACGAATACACCAATATTTCAAATGGTAGGTCTATATTCTTTATACAGATAACAGTATGAGTTAAAGCCATCTAATTCTCATAATTTATTCACAGTTATAGTTGCTGCTTTTTTGCTAATTTATTTATAGTCAAATTATTGTATTTTTTCTCCATTATTATTTCTAAATTCATTTAACCAGCGACCTCTAAGTTTTACACAAGTTTTACAAAAAATGCTACCATAATTATAAATTAATCGGTATCTGAAGTGAATTATACTGAAAATTAAAACAAGTGCAACCATCCGTAGTGCCGTAAAATGTGTCACACCATTCAAATTTCAAGTAATTAAAAATATAGGCCACTGCGAATAACCCTAAAATAATCGTAGTCTTTACAGAAATAAGGAGATGAAATTATATGTAGTAAGCTTACCTTAGCAGCGCTTATCTCTTCTTCAGATAAACTAATTGTTAACAGTGTCGCAAATAGGGCTAGTCGAGTTGTGATCATACCAAGAGTCATAAAAAAGGCTCTAATGTAGGCATTTCGCTGAACTATTTTGATTTCAGCACTTCTTGCCAACCCAACAACTTTTTGGAACGGTATCTCCCATGCATACATTTTGATAACTTGTATTCCAAGAATAACTTCGTCCATTAATCTTATTCTCTCGTCTGTCTTTAGTGCTGTCATTTTTCTGTATTTGGAAGCTAGTTTCCCAGAATATGCTACAAAGGGATACATGGATATAAATTAAATAATTAAAATTACGAATTGCTACAAAAGTTTGAAGAGCCTACTAAAACTAGTAACCTAAAATATAATTAATAGATATAATTAGCACAAACTTCACCAACATTGAACTGGGTTCTAATAAAAAATAAAATTTGGGCAAAAGCTCAAATATCTTTATTTATACATAATATAAATATGGAACTAGAACAAATAAATACAGATCGGAATAATTTCCGTCAAAACATATATATCCAACATAAATATTCAGATACAGTTTTTCTCGGCAGTCTTTGTTTTGATCCCCTTTATATTGAATAGTTAATTTAAGATTTGTTTATCTGAGAATCTAAGCTGTGGTAATGCTTGTTGGAGTATATGGTTCGAGGACTACCAATGTTTCGTTATCTAATCCTGTTTTTCCCATTTTTATTTAAGAGAAAATAAGCTAACTTTCTTTGTAGGTCCTAACTGTGAAATTCGTTTGTATTGTTGATTTAGCGATTCAATTTTTCACAGATAACTTCTCAAAAGTTGCCCAAGTCTACCTCTTCCTTATAGTTATTTGCTCAGTCTTATTTTCTTTGCTTAATTTTGTTATTTAGTGGTGGCATTTCCGAATATTAATCATTTTATGTTATTATCATCATCATTACTTTTATTGCCAATCCATTAACAACCGTTGACAATTTGTCGCACTAATTTTCCTAGTGGGATGGCATCCCATTCGCTTCATCCTCCCATCTAAATTGTGGTCTATCTCTATGTCTACTTCCCCTTAGGGACAATTTCAGGTTGCGATCTATAAAAATATCAAGAAATTTTACAAAATCAACGATACTGATCCGGCGGCTGTTATTAAAAAGCAAGTTTTGAAAAGCTCCTTGATAGGATAATGCTACTGTCTTATTCACTTAAAAAAAAAGTAAATTACAGTCGGACCAGATGTGTATTATAAGTAGATCAAAAGCTATCGTTGCATGAAGAGTTTATTTGCATGAAGAGTTGCATATTAGAGTTGCTCCAGGTGATAGTGGTATCATCAGCAAAAAGAAAAATGTTTCCATCCATTTTTAAATTAGTTATGTTATTTATAAATAAAAGGAGAAATATAGGACCCAATACTGAACCTTGTGGTACTCCACATACAATTCTTTTGTGACTAGAGTTAGTATCATTTGCTTTAAACAGTTGTTTTCTATTCCCCAAGTAAGATAGGAGCCAATTTAAAGAAATATGCCGAATTCCGTAGAAATTTAGTTTTTTTTTGATGTCGTGATTTACGCAATCAAAAGCTTTGGTGTGGTCACGAAAAACAGTGACAGTGTAAAGATTATTGTTTAGTGCTAGCTCAGAAAATAAATCAAGAATGATATATCATCATTGATGTATACGCAAAGATCAAATACAAACTAAATATTTTTAGTAATTAAAAATTTACCTTGCAGTGGTGCCATTAAGACTACCACTAAAATTCCAGCAACGCCTGACAATCCTGATCGTTGATATAACATAAACATCACAATTACTGCAGAAATGGGTCCAATCCACATATTATGAATCATTATAGAGGCCATTTCAAATCTTGCCACATCGTTGGATAACAGGTTGACCACCTTTCCTGCAGGGGTGTCTCCTAGGGCAGTTCTACTCAGTCTTGTAGCCTAAGTAAAGAAAAGTAGTTAAGTATTTAGCAAAAGTATGTTATTTTATAAAATACTAAATACCAAGAGCATTCAACCCTTTTAGTGCAGTGTACTTGTATACGAGTGTTATAAAATCCGTGTTACCATTACGAATCATTTTTCAACAAATAATTGAGTGACACGCTCGTATTCTTCTTCTTTAAGTTCCATCTTCTATCGAAGGTTGGAAATCATCATGGCTATGCGGACTCTGTTGACTGCCGCTCTAAAAAGATCTGCACTACTGCATTCAAACCATTCCCTTAAGTTCTTAAGCCAGGATACTCTTCGTCTTCCCACATTTCGTATTACGAACCATTTATTTACAAGTTTATAAGTATACAAGCTTTGTAAAGTTATTAGTTATTGAGCTAACTACTTGTTTATAAGTCCTGAGCTGTAGGTGTAAATGACTAAAGGAGGTGCACATGTTTACCGTCCATTAGTTTTGATCTGACTTTTTAGAGAGGTTATGCTAATTTGTAGTAAAGTATGTTTCGTAAAAGAAAAGGTTTGTGTGAAGCAGAATTATTACAGTTAATTTTAGAAAAAAATATGATGAAGTGGAATATGTGTTTGACGAGGGCAATTTTGAGGTGCAAGTTGATAATAATGATAATTCTGAAAATAGTGAAGATTAATGCGAGTTGACGGTAAAATAAAGGTAAAAGATATCGGCATAGCTCGCAACATAGGAAAAAAAATATAATAAAATGTGTATAAAATAAAAGGCAACCTTATATACGTATTTCTGACTATTGGTCGTCTTCAGTACGGTGCAGAAAAGTTAGAAAAAGAGCATATTAACTTGAGAAAGGATCACTACAGGACCAATGCGACCAGTTTGTGGCAATAATGTTAGAAGACTGAGGTTTCCAGAGCAACAACCAACACATCCACGGAGGAAGCTAAGCTATCTGAGGAAAGGAATGCCAAACGTTTAGAACTTTTCAAACAACAAGAAAAAGGTTAATGCGAGTTAATAGTAAAATAAAGGTAAAAGATGTCGGCATCGCTCGCAACAAAGGAAAAAAAAATATAATAAAATGTGTATATGGATGGTGTAATTTTTAACCATTTTCAGAATGTACAGAGGCACCCCAGTGTCAAAAGACAGTCTACGGCACACACCAAAAGAAATTATCAGTAATCCACTTAAACACGCAATCAATTAAAACAAGTATTGATGCCATTAATTTTATCCTAGAAGATCATGATGAATGCTTTGCTCTTTAACTGAGCACTGGAAAACAGAAGAACAACTGCGGGACTACAATGTGCGGAATTTTAAACTGATTTCTTCATATTGCAGAAACAGTTCACAGGAGCATGGTGGCAGTGCGGTATACATCAAAGACACGTTTATTGCAAAATCCCGGGAAGATATTTCTAGTTTATCAGAAAGAACTGTGTTTGAGTGTTCCGCTGCAGAGGTGCGAATTAATTAGAAGAAGATTGTAATCCTATCCATCTACCGAACAGAAGACCCACAAGTTTTAATGAATAAATTAGACCAAATACTTTGTGATTTAGTTGACAAGGACTCCATAATTTTTTTGGCTGGTGATTTTAACTTAGATATGCTGCTTGAGGGTGCAAGGTGGCCAGACGCATTAAAATTTTTTTTGAGCTCCTTTGATATAAAACCTTCCATCAAAGACTATACACGCATACAAGGTAACAAAAAATCCTGTATAGATAATATTTTTACAAATCTTGACATATTTGATTCCCTTGTATTCAATCCTCATACATCTGATCATACTGCTCAAAAGGTACAATTTGAATTAAATGAATTTGAGTCAAATATAATAAAAAAAACGAATATTTAGCAATGAGAATAAAAGTTTATTTAAATTCATGTTAGGTAATGTAGACTGGGTATCTGTTTTTGAGACATTAGAAGTAGATAATCAGTGGGATGCTTTTATGAGTATAGTTCAGAAATTTTTTATAGAATGTTTTCCACTCAAAGAGATTAATACAGTAAATAAAAAAAAATCACAAAAGTACTTTAAAAATGATGATATAAAACATTGTAAATCTAGGCTTGATGTTTTGTTTACACTGTCTACCAATAATGTTGATTATAAAGATATTTATAGGACATAAAAACGCAAATACAATTCTTTACTCACTCAATCTCGGAAAAATTGTTATAAAGAACGAATGGAAAATAGCGAAAATAAAACTAAAATGGCTTGGCAATTGGTAAAAGAGATTAAGAGTAATTCCAAAAATCAAGGTAATTTCTGTTTGGAGGGTGACCCTCAAGTGCTTTCTAACGAAATAAATCAATTTATGGCAAATGCAGCGCCAGAAGCTGTAAAGAAAATAAAGCATATAAAAAATTTTCAAATTAATATTGAACAAACTAATCATTGCATGTTTTTAACTCCAGTTTCAGAGAAAGAAATAAGTCATATAATAAATAACTTAAAACACAAGCATTGCTCTGGTTATGATGAAATATCAACCAACTTAATAAAATATGTTTCATCAGAGATTTCTCTTCCTCTTTCTTTTATAGTTAATGCTTCTTTCAGGCAAGGTAAATTTCCTCAAAAGTTAAAACTGGCAATTGTCAAGCCACTTCATAAAAAAGGTGATGTTACTAAGATGGAGAACTATAGACCAATAAGCCTTCTTCCATCATTCTCAAAAATATTTGAAAAAGCAATATATTTCAGACTTCAAAACTTTTTTACTATAAACAACTTATTTAGTAGTTCACTGCATGGTTTTCTCGCAGGGAGATCTGTTGAGACAGCTACCTATGATTTTATATCAAAAATTTTAGAAAAACTGGAGGCAAAGATGAAAACACTGGGTGCTTTTTTGGACCAATCTAAGGCTTTTGATAGCCTAGATCATGTTCTATTATTACAAAAATTACATCTTTATGGAATACAGGGACCAGCATTAAAATGGATAAAATCATTTCTCACAGATAGGTCGCAAAAGGTATGCCTGGAGAAAAGGGGATGTAAGGTTTACTCTGAACCGATCAATTTAAAATTAGGTATAACACAGGGGAGTGTTCTGGGTCCTTTTCTCTTTTTGGTCTACATAAACAACCTTCCAAATGCGGTGGTTAGTTGTTCCTCAAACCTTGTAAATTTCGCTGATGACTCAAATGTGCTTTTCTGGGAAAAAACTTTAGAAACACTCCTCACAGTGGCAGAGCAAATTCTAAGCAAGGCTGAACAGTGGTTCAGTGGAAATCGGTTGTTGCTTAATACTGATAAGACAGTTTTTGTCCACTTTAGAACCAGCCAGTCACGAGAACAGTTTCCAGATACAATTAATTTTCTATCAGAAAACACGGAAACTGCTAGATCAGTTAAATTTCTTGGTATCCATATTGACCAGAATCTGAATTGGGGGAACAAATACAAAATACAACAAAAAAACTGAATAGAGCCTGCTACTCATTAAGAGTGTTAAAGAGCTATCTGGAGCAGGGGATTTTACTATCAGTATATTATGCAAACTTTTATTCTGTTATACGATATGGAGTAATCTTCTGGGGTGCTGCAGTAGATAGCTCAACTGTCTTTATAGTCCAAAAAAAGGCAGTCCGGGTGATCTTAGGACTAAAGGCGGGAGAATCGTGTAGAGGCCGATTCAAGTCACTCAATATACTCACTTTCTCAGCCATCTATATATTTGAATGTATTATGTTCCTTTTTAAAAATTTTTCTTTGTTTTATCACCTGCTTCCCAATCATGAATATAGTACAAGAAGCCTTAACTTGAATTTGCCACTTCACAGATTGTCTATAACAGAGAGAAGTCCTTTGTATGCGTGTGTTAAATTTTATAACAGTCTACCATCTGACATTAAACAGGAAACACACTATAGAACTTTTAAAAGAAAGGTTTTTCAACACCTAGTTGACATTGAGCCCTATACTGTGGCGGAGTACCTGGCCTATCCTTCTCCTTAATCAGCATATTTAATTTGTAATGTTAATGTATTTTAAATGTGTGATGTCAATATATATATATATATATATATATATATATATATATATATATATATATATATATATATATATATATTTTAATTTGTAATTAATAATGTGACGATATTTGCTCAATCATGTTTAAAGATTTATGCAAATAAAATTTACTCTACTCTACTCTACTCTATAAGATGGAAGGCAACCATATATTCGTGTTTCCGACTATTGGTCGTTTTTAGTACAGTGTCGAGTTAATTGTACCTTAGTTTTCTGTAAACTTACCTTTCTGTAAACCACTGCACAAGCTGCTGCTCGCATTTTCATCCCAATATGCGCTGCATTTGTGACATATTGATTCAGAATCAGAGAACTCATAAAAGTAAACGTTACCATACCGATTCCATACATGTAAGCTTCGAATTTGGATTTGGTAGATCCAGGTGCATAGTAATCTAATATTCCTCCTAACATGTAAGGTTGAAATGTTCTTAATCCTAAGTCATTGCAAGCAGTTAATAAACCTAAGAAAGCGTATTCTACCCAAAATGTCTTCACGATAGCTTTTATCAGACTGGGTTTATTCTTTGCTCCTTTTTTTACTAATTCTGTTTCTGTATTCCAATTTCTGTAAATTACATGTATATATTATCAATAAAATTTTAATTTTGGAAAAATAATAAACATTATGTAAAATGGTAAAGTATTTTGGATAAAATAATAAACAAAAATAATAAAAATACTTTAATTGATCCTTAATAAGTTGTAATAAAAAGAGAAGGAATATAATTGGAATACGATTAATAAAATGGAAATAAATAAATAAACTGAAGAATATTGTAATTGTAAAGATTGTGAAATTAGTGTGATTTTAATGTAATCCAAAATGCAAAGAAAATAAATTATCTCAACATAATGATTCGATAAGCATAACATTATATACATATAGTAATGTTTCTTAAAAATAATAACACAATTACTTACTTTTCCAATCTGTTTCCTAGATAATCACTTCTGTCACCTTCAAGAGTATTATATACGTCATCTACATCAATAACTTTTGTCATTCCTGTTCTGAATGTAGGGATTGTGTACCTGATAAGAAATAATAAGTTAATAAAATGTATAAAATAAAATAAACGTATATAATATGTCCATCTAAGCATATTTCGCCTTCCCCCAGTCAAAGAGCGTTTAATAGCCCGTACCCATTGCCATAAGTAACAATATGATGTGATACGACCTTTCAATGATAGAGGGTTTAAGACAGTGGAAAGGTTTAAGTCCTTTAATATTATTGGAAACCTTTAACAACGGAAGCTCAAAAATAATGCATGAAAAAGATGAAAAACAAAAAGTTTTATACAATGGTAGACCAATGAAACTACATAAAGGAATGTTTAAAAGCTGCATCAGAAGAAGTATTGGGGAAGTATGAAAAGGCAGAACAACGAAAGCCCTATTGGTGAAATAAAGAAATTAAAAAGAAAATAAAAATCAAACATGATAAACACAACAATTTTCTAAACATAAGAATGGATTATTATGTTGAGAGATCGAAAGATAAGTGAAGACATTGGAAGAAAATGTAACACACAGCGTAATAACGAATGGACACCAAATAGGTGACACCAAAAAAAAAAAGGAATGGAATAGCCACATAAGCAGAATGAAGGAGACCTGTGTCGTCAAAATAGCAAGAGATAAGTCACCAATCGGTAGAAGAATTATCAGATGACCTCGCAAAAGTTGAGTAAAAACCTTCCATTGATGTATTAATCGGCCAATATACAAGCAAAATTGCTTATACAGAGCAAGAAGAAGAAGAATGGATTGAACTAAATACGAATACCAAACAGCTCAAACAGAGGTACGAAGGGTTATAATCAAAAAGAAAAACGAATGCTGGGAGGAAAACTGCTTCATAATTAAGACGTACTTGGCCGGTAGCAGACTTACCGAAACCTGGTAAGTACTTAAATCTCTTAAAAAAAACAGAATAAAGATATCATCTGTCTTATTAGCTTACAGGAATGAGACTAATACTTTAAAAAACCACTGACGAAAAAAAGGACAGAATATGCAATAGCATCCCTACTTAGGATTGACAATAGGGCAATAAAACAAGTATGTGAAATGTTGAAAACAAAAATCATCAGGTCGAGGTAATATTGGACTCGAAATATTAAAATGCAGAACCGAAATACTATACAGGCAGCTAACCAACATTGAAAAAAATTCAGACAACCGGAAATAACTGCTTGTTTTGATACTGATTGACTGATTATTCCCAACCATTCACATCCGCCAGTATTATTAATGATACAAACGGTTTATCAATGGAAACACTTCCATTCATAGTGTACCTGAATGTAAATATGAGAGTGAATTGCAAATAGATTATTGCACTAGATGATCCAGATACTTGGCCCTACATTCTAACTAAAGATACATACACTGATTTTTTAGTAGAACATGGTCCCAAACAAGTAACTAATTTTAAATTTCCCGTCGATGAAGGTGGCAAGAAATTTAGCTGTTCATATTATAACATTAGTTAAATGGGGTCGTGATGCGCAAAATATGACGCTGTATCTTTTTAGCGTCACTAGCCCCTCCTACTCAATTCCGACTCTCACCTCCACGCGGTGAACCACGGTAACCTGAGCAACTCTGTGGAAGATTGTGTTAACCAACTCCAGTGGGAAATAGAGTCTGAGCAGACGAGAGCGGGAGTAATGGCCCTTCGAAAATTAGGGGGTTGGGCAAAAGGTAACGACCTCTACTTTTAAAAAAACTTAGTGTTTTGAAAACGTATTGTTATTAAAGCACAAAGAAGAAAAGTCGAACTGTTTAATTCACCACGTCCTAGAAAAATATTGGGGAAAACCAAACCAGTTAGACAAAACCAATAGTTTGACAAGGAGAGCCAACAAGAAAAAGAAAACAAAAATAGAGCATACCTAAAGACACATCAAGCTAAGTGCACAAGAAGAGCAAAGGATAAATACCGGACCCTAACAAGGAAAGACAAAAGATTAAATAGAAGAAAAAATAAGCAATTTGAAAAAAGCAATTAGAAAACATAGAATGGCTAAAAAATCAAAACGAAATTCGAAAGTTCTACAGAAATGTAAATAAAATGAGTAAAGAGTTTAAGCCAATCATAGGGAGCTATAAAGATGGAGAAAGAAATATCCTAAGTGATACGACCTCAATCTTGAACCGATGGGTTATATTTTTGGACGCAAAATTTAACGGCCATTATATTGAAGAAGATGATAATACCGCAGCACATCGAAATAACTTGAATCTATTCAACACAAACAAAATATCACCTACCACTGAAGAGGTTGCCCAAGCCACTAAAAGGATTAATAATAATAAAGCTGTGGGAACTGATTGAATTGCATAAAATTTTACTTCTTGTCTGGTAAAATGAGACCATAACCTGTGAATGGTCTCAAGGCGTAATATGCCCGTTACATAAAAAAGGCGATCAGCTCCAAATGAGACAACTACATAAGTATACCCTTGTTAACAACTCCTTATAAAATACTAGCAAATATTCTTTACAAAAGGCTAAACGTTTACACAGTGAGCAGAGTTGGAAAATATCAGGCCGGATTGACTCCAGAAAAATCAACAATTGACCAGATTCATTCAATAAGACTGATCCTCGAGAAAACATTGGAATTTAAGATTGCAACCCATTCTATTCATCGACTTTAAGGCGGCATACGATAGTAGCAAGAGAACAGTACTATACCAATCAATGCGTTTCTCGTTCCTTTGGATCCTTTGAGATAAAGGATGGACTCAGACAAGGAGCTGTCCTGGCTTGCCTCCTATTTAACTTTGCCTTGGAAAAGGCAGTCCGAGAAACACGGATTAGAGACGAGGTACTATTTACAATACATCGATACAAATCTTAGCATACGCCAATGATATTGACATAATTGGGCGTAACAAGCGAGATGTTGAGAATAATTTCCTAGAATTGAAAACGGTGGCGAAACATTTCGGTCTTAGTCATCAAAGTAGACAAAACAAAGTAAATGTTGGTTATTAAGTATCCTATAGCAAGTGAGGAACGGGAAACAACATTTGGAAGTAACATATATCTTTGAACGTGTCCACAGCTTCACATACCTTGGCTCGCTGGTGAGTACTATCAACAAACCAAGCGAAAAAATTAAAAAACGAATAAACCTTGCAAATAGGGCATACTATGGACTTCAAAAACAATTTCATTCAAGAAAGATCCAAAGAAAAATTTAAATTATTATGTACAAAACACTGGTGAGGCCGGGCCTCACATACCATGCGGAAACATGGACTCTAACGCAGAAGTATGAAAGACTTCTGGAAATAATCGAGCGTAAGATACTCCGTAAAATAGTTGGAGCTACAAAAGATCAAGGGCAGTGGCCCTTTAATTTCGAATTATACCAAATGTTTAATGAACCAGATGTCGTAACGTTCATTAAACCACACACTAATACTAATGCCTGACAACATGATTGCTATAAAGCTAACGACTGTAACACCTATAGGAGGAAGAACAGAGTTTAAGATTTAAGATTAAGACCGAAGGATAGCAAAGATTAGAAGATGGCAACACGTTGCCAGAAATCGAACAGAATGACGACTAATCTAAGAGCAGGCAAGGATCCAAAGAGGATTGTCGAGCCAAAGATGATGGTGATGATATTATAACAAAATTTTAGTGAACACGGGGAGAATAAATTTCATGTGACTCTTCTAATAAATAAAACTTAATCATCTTTTTTGTTTTGTATGTAAATTGCCAAAAAACTTAAAATGAAATAAAGTGCAGAAAAATATAACGAAAAACTAAGTACCAAATTCATAAACGAAATCAAATTCTAAATTATTTTACACAATGTGTTTGAAAGGTTTTTTTTTATTTAAACACAAAACCACATCAACCGCGCAGGGTTATTAGTGAATATAACAAATACAAAAAATATTACATTAAATACAATTGAATAACTTGTCTTTTAAATAGCTTAACACTGTTGAAATTTTTTTGGAGATAACTGTTTTGAGATCATCATCTGTGAATCCATGAAATCTTCATTTTTCCGTGAATTGAGAACAATCAAGCAGGTTATGTTTGACAGTCAGTGGGTTAGGGTTAGAGCAGCTAGAGCAGATAGGTAGTGGTTCTTTTGTTGCTTTTGTTAGTAGGTATTTGTGTGTTAAGGCAGTATGGCCAATTATTAGACGGTCAATAATAACTTGGTTTCTTCCGTTTGAAGGAGTCTCCAGGACAGCATTAATGCCAAATATAGACAAGTCACGATAAGACATTTTATAAAGGTTACAAATACTACCTACCTTATAATAAAACTAAAGAGACAATTCTACACATTGTTAGACAAGTAGAGAAATAGATGAAAGGTGTAATAATATTGCTATTTATTGGATAGTATGTAAGTAAAAAAGAAAAAATATCAACATTCTATTGATAGATTATCTAAAATACCATTCTGAACAAAGGAAATAAAGGAGAAGCCTTAGTTAGATACCTTATGGCTATAAATCCATAGGTGGGTATAAAGTATTTTCTAAAATACATCATTATTTCACCATGGCAATATTTTGGTGCTCTTTTTATGTTTTTTCACATCATCTTGCTATGCGCGTGTGTGTGTGTGTGTGTAAATTAATCATTGAAAAGTATCTACATATGTTTAAATAAATAATCAACTATATAAAGAAAAAAATACTTACCCAAAAAATAAAATTGAAAATATATTCGCATTTTCCCTTGGATTGGGATTATGTTTTACTTCACTGGGATCCATTTTGGTGCCCAGTTCCTAATGTTTATTTATTCGTAACTATAATAATAATAACTTTATAACATATTCGACTTATGGGTTTTGTGTGATCTAAAAAAGAATAGTATGGTTAATGTTAACGTGGTGAGTATTAAAAAAACCATCAATAGCTTTCATTTCGTATTATCAAATATTATAAGTTCAAATCTTCAAAAATTTGTATTAGATATTCATACAAATAAAAAGGGAAAATATAGAGTGAAATATTTTATCGCGTCGACCATAGAAACAGTTATGCAGTGGCTTTTAAATAGTAAACAATTTGAACAGAATATTTTATATTTAAAAATTCTATTACTTACTTAAACAATAAATAATATTTGCTCTTACAAAGACTGATATATCTTTAGCATTAGTAATTATTATTGATAGTCATTAGGGACATACAAAGAACTGATGAGAATTATTGTCGAGAATTTCTCAATACTGTATTTAAAACTAGTGTATAATTCAGTTCCATTTTGGTTTAGACTCTTATAATCAAAGGTGCGAATACGCGTATTAGAAACTATTTTATAGAATGTAGATGGTTAAGTCTAGTACTAAAACATAGATCAGATTCACACCGGGATCCAAAGTTTACAAAGGTTTAAATATATACAAATACTGTTTCCTGAACATAATCGAACCAATAATAAATACGTGTTAGCGAATCTGCTAGAGTATCTGTACGCACACTATATTATCTGTGATCTTTAGATACGTCTTGGTACGCTTCTTTTATCAACCGTTCTACCGTTTTTTTTAATCGAGGTTTTTGAAGCTACACACCTTTTCACTTGACTCTACACCATCTTAATCGAGTTCAGCTCGCAATGGTAAGCCGCACTCTCAAAATCTTAACGTTCTGTTTTTCCGCGATTGTTTTAATTTTGTACTTGTCGTACTCGTCTCTAAATGCGGACGGAGTATCCAATAATTAACTTTTTAGGTACCTAATCTTTTACCTTTTGTCTTACAATTTTTCGGGAAATCAACTTTGCGGAAGTAGTATGACGCGTTGTTCAAAACGTTTTCTTTGTGTTTCGGCAAGTTTGGAATTAACGTCTTCTCAAACGATTCTTCACATAGATCCTCGTCCATTTCATTGTGGTAGTCAGCAGTTCCCTTCTTGATCGAGAAAGTTAATTCGGTCCATGCCACCACCACTTTCGCTTTCACCATAAAGAAGAAAAAACTGAGGACCTCTTTGGGACCTCTTTTATGAAGACGTCTCGTGAATTAGTGATCGTTGTGTCCCTCCATTCCTTTATGACTAAAGCACAAAGACCCATCGGTATCAATAAGGTTTACATTATCCTTTTTCCTCAATGTTTTTATTTGGATTCTCGGATAATCCACCAGTTGGTGGATTGTAGACTGGTAAAATAAGCTTTTAACGTTTTTAATAAAACATTCTAGATCCACCTCTTAATCTACGAAGAAATTATTTATGCCTTTCGTATGTAGCATCAGTCACCAGCAACAAATTCCACCCAGTACTTCAAAATGCATTTACCGACCGTTACTTTTAAAGATCTACAACTCCAAATTTCTGAACTCTTTCCTTCAAATGTAAAAAGTCCACCTCCCTGGTTAATCATGATTCCCGAAATCAATACGACGCTACTCCAATATAACACATCAGATACATCACCCATTGTAATCCGACAGTCATGTTTAAAGGAACTCGAGACTTACGGTAAAAGCTTTTGCATTTATACAGATGCCTCCAAATCTGCAAATGACGTAGGAGCAGCATTTGTCACTCCATATTCCTCTTCCCAATTTAAATTAATGCCAGCCACTTCTATATACACAGCAGAATTATATGCAATATTACAAGCCCTCATTCATATCAAAAGTACAAACCATTCTTCTTCCATCATTATCACAGATTCTCTAAACTACTTAACAACAATCGGTCAACTATATACTAACAACCCCATAGCCTTACTTGTTAAGAAAGAACTTGCTGCCTTACAAGAATCTGGTTCAGAAGTCAAATTTATGTGGGTTCCATCTCACCCGGGAATACAAGATAATAAAAACGCAGACCTCCAAGCAAGAGAAGCTCCCAAAAATGATCAAGCTATAATAGTGTCAAAGACTATCTGCAGTGATATAAAACAGTTCGTTAAAGAAAAAGTGATTAGTGCGTGGCAAAATAAGTGGAACTTATCGGAATCTAAATTAAAAGAAATTAAATCGACAGTGAAACCGTGGCGCCTAGTAAACTTAAAAAGAGCTGACCAAGTCAAAATTTCTCGACTTCGATTAGGTCATACCAATATTACTCATAAGCACCTAATAAGTAAAGAAGACATTCCAGTGTGTGATTACTGTCAAGTCAATATTACTGTTAAACATCTCCTAACAGAATGTGGAAAATATAGAGTTAACAGACAAAATAACAATATTTCCAGTGACTTAAAAACAGTATTAGGTGAACATTTAAATACTAAAATCTTAATCAGATTTCTAAAAGAAACATCTTTATATAATTTAATATAATGTAGTAACTAATGTAAACTAATGTTGCTAATGACCCAGGTGGTTGAAGCGACTATTATTAGTAAATAAAAAAAAAAAAAAATAAAACATTCCCCAACTACAAGTTTAACATTTAAAGTACCACAATACCAACTCTACTATAATATCAGCCTAATCTCTGGTAACTGTTGGTGGTTTTAAATATACATATTGATATAAATACAATTATAAGGTTTTGTTTCAGTTGTTTAATTTTAATTTTGGTTTATTCACTATCCCAATATTTTTGTCTCTGTTATTGCTATATTTTAATAAAATATACAAATATTCAATAATAAAACAGATAACACGTTACGGTTGTCTGGTTTATATTGTGGTTTGCTGTTATTGCTGATTTTTTTATAAAAAAACAAGTTATAAGCATACAGCATAAACTAAATTTTAACCTTAAATCTAATAACGAAATTGTAAAATGCATGTTTAGAAGCATTTACATAATCGGTAGAAGTATCAGCCAACTTGCGCAAAAAATAGAGTGACAGTGGCGCACCTTAAATGTTCCTGGGGGGTTTGGTTGGACATCGAAATTTTTATGCTACCTCCATTTTAAGTTCTTAAAATTTGAGTCCTTAAAATTTGGGGTTTAGTTTAATTTAAAGTACTAAAGATAGCAGTGTCAAAGATTCAGGTATGTATTATCCTGCCTACCAACTAAAACCGCCCTCTCCTACTTGTGTGCACTGTCGCACGTAGCGTACTCTGAAAGTCGGAAGGCCGCTGTAAACCTGACGATATTTTTGGAACTCTCCCTTCCTTTATCTAGATCTTATTTCTGTTGTTTGGCCGGGTTGGTGTTTCTCTTCTTCTTCTTTCTTCTTAATTACTGTTCGGATGTAACTGTGAATACTATTCCATCCCTCCTTACTTCCCGTCATCTTCACGATAATCTCTCTCACAATGAAAGAGTTTCTCTATGTCTCCATACATTATGTTTCTCTCAGCTGTACATCTATTACACTCCAGCATTATGTGAGTAACAGTGTCGGAATATTCGCAGTATAGGCGTTTATCTGTAGCCTCAGTCTTAGCCTTAAATATTCACTGCTAAATATGATCGTCTTCCTCGTGTTTCCAACTCTGTATATCTTGTGTCACTCTCATCCAGCTTTTATTTCGCTTTCTTAAATAGTCAGCCCATCGTGTAGGTGGTCGATCGATGCTTCTCTTATCTTTCCTTGGTCTCCACTCCAATTACCTCCTTGTCCTCCTCCATCCACCCTTCTATCTGTGTCCTGCCCATCTTCGTTTTAGTGTGACTATCCTTTCAATGCCCTCAGTCACCTTGGTTCTTCTCCTGACTTCTTCGTTTTTTATTTTGTCTAGCAGAGTTATTGCTAACATGGATAAGTATCTTCTTTTCTGAGTGACTTTCAGTGTGGTAGCCCAGGCATTTGTAAAAGTAAATGTTTATGCTCCTTATGTTAACACTAGAAGAACGCATTGATCGACTATTTTTCACTACAGTCATGTAGGTAACTCACTTTTAAAAGTTTCTCTTAGTTTTCGATATGCTGCCCACCTAAGACAGATTCTTCTCTTCAGTTCATGGGTCTGATTATCTTTGCTAATTATAATTTCATGTCCTATTCTTAAAAGCATGTTGCACCACAGTGCTAAAAAGTTTATTGAGTCTCCTTGTCTAACCCTTCGCTCAATTTTTATGCAATTATTATTAGTATGTAATTTGATAGTGGATTTTGCCTGTATGTAGGTGCCTATATATATATTGTATAGTAATTTTAATTTTTCTTTCGTTAACAACAATTTTCGTTATTTAATTTCTTTTAAATGTAGTATAATGACAACACCATCGCCACTATTTTATATAAAAAACAACATATTTCCTTTTTGTTTTGTTTTGTACTAACATATGTAATCTGAATTTATGTAAAATTAAACATATACATTTTATAAAGTTAACCTTCTTATAATTTAAATAAAGATACATTATCATGACTTAAAACACCTGCAAGATGTTAAAATGTTTATCTTATAATAAATTCTTAAACAAATACTTAAATCTTTGCGAGGACAACAAAAAAATTAAACAGATTTGTAATATGGGTCGATATAGATTCTATCAATAGCATAACTTTATATTATTACACAACAGTACCTTGCGGTACCTTGACTGATCTTTATTATATTTTTTTGCAATCAGTATTTTAGGAAATAGCTCTACATTTCAGATTTGGACATTTGTTTTATGTTTAGAATTTAAGTTTTACTTTAAGCTTTTTATTAGTTTTAAATTTGGGATCTTATAATAAAATGCATATTGCCTGGAAGCCTGGACGCTGACAATTGGCAATGCCTGGGTTTTTTGAGATGTGGATATCCTGCCAAATTTTAAAAACTCCATAGACTCCCATTTATGTTGGAAGTGAAAAAGCTTTAAGATGTATCAATAAAAATCGTTAGTTTGTAAAACTTAATCAAAAGCTGACAATATTTTCTCTTAGACATAATATATTCAATCACAACAAATATATCTTTCTTTAAATATTAGTGAAAGGAAA